TAGTAACGCAGATTCGAAAGATGCATGAAAATCGAACGCTCGTATCTGACAATTTGACTTAACAAAGTTAATGAGTGGGTTGTGAGTCAATTACTATAACCTAGTCGATAGTAGGATCATATTCGATGCAAACTAACAAATAATTGCCTGTCGAGGGATCCAGTGTAGTACGGTTTTAAGAGGTTTAGAAATTGAAAAATTTCTATATGCATTATGAAGGGATGAAGGGATAAGTTCACGTCTGGCACCCCTGTTCCTACAAAAATTCCTTTATTCTCATAAACAATTTATTTTAAATGTAATTCATTATAAATCCAATTGTTTTTACTTGTTTTTTTTGTAGGAGGTATATGATTTACGACCAAACTCGCCAGATTAGTATTTGACGTACAACCAATCACTTCGTACACTCGATGCGCTATTTCAGATTTTACATTCAATTTCATTTTAAATTTGAACGCGTCCTGAAAATGGTGACACGATTTCCCTTTGATAAAAGACCGACAATTTTTTGCTCTACTTTGCATCGAATACGATCCTACTATATGTGTCCTAAATGAATATTTTGTGAAAATTTTGATTGATACTTTTGGCTCAAGGCTTATTTTTTCACTTAATTTATTACACAATTTTTTCCAAGGTGAAAAAAATACCCAACTAAACGGAGAAAAAAGGTAGAAACCTTTCGATGGCGATTGTGATTAAAAATTATCATATGAAGGCATGTTGTCGCATCCTTATTCAAACTTGTTTTAATTTTCTAAATGCTAGTTAAAATTTGCTGTTAACGTTTAATTTATATTCTTTACTGAGAATTTTGATTGAATTACGTTACAAAATATCAAATAAATAACAGGCTGGATGTTCGATTAATTTTATTTTCTTCTAATTATAAATTTAATCACAATTATATTTGTAATGTTCATGTTTTAATAATTAATTAATTAACCGCTGAATTCAAACGATAACAACAAAATTTATATTAATTAATATTATTTCTGTTATGTATTACCTACATCCCCATTAGTAGATAATTTAAATTTCATAGGGTTTTTAAGGTCGTTATATAAATTTCCTATTTCCGTATTCATTTGATATCCCAATTTATTGGTAGAGATGTTTTAAAATCTTATGAGCTTTGACCTTCATATGCGCAGAAACATAATTCCGACCGTCGCCTAAATTATTCTACGTCCTAAAAACATTACACCTATTATTCACAGTTTATCTCGAGCTCTCATAGCATAAACAAGCCTTTGCTCCGATTACAAATATCATAATAAAATGCCCTATTCTGTATTATTTTAATTTAAACAATAAAAATATATAACGAACGTTCGCCAGTTGACTTTATTGATGCCCGAGCGCCTTAGTTCATTTCTAGTTGTAATGAGGCACGTGGTCTAATTCTGAGTCAATGTTTTCACAACGTGCTTATTAGAAGAAATATGGGAATACGCCACGCCTTTCGCGCATTTCGCGGCTCATGAGATATTAAAAGATCTCTACCTACCTACTATTTTAGTTGCGTTAATTAATACGTAAAGAGGAAAAACTTCATTTAGGATTACATTACAGAAGCCGCTTCTTTTTTATTTTTCTGTGATTTCTAAACTGTAGTGCACATGTCGACTATTTCCCAGCTGTGCTCAAGTGCAGAATGTATACAATCTAATGAGCTTGAAAGCTAGTAAGCATAGTGACTACTGGGCAGGAACGTTGCCCTGGTTATTGAAGTGCAGGGTATCAAAGTCGACGTTCAATCACAGCCGATAGGGGCTCCACTGTAATATTGCAGAGATCTTCGCGTTAGAATAGCACTTTTAGCCTCTCCGAATTTTCTGTTTTACAACAGAACTACACTGTAGCATAATATGTTTGTATTTCTCCTTTATTGCAGATTGTGACAAGAACATAACAGGTGATAGTTTAATTTTGACATTCAAATGAACAAAGACAACAATACTGAATAGATTGACAAATCAGGTTTTCAAACATGAACTTGAACTTTTATGAGTGTTAGTAATGTTTTCGATTGATATAGTTTGTCATATCGAAATGATTTTTGAATATAGCTAACGTATTCCTAAGCACAAGGTGATAAAGTTTATTTTACTTTTATTTTTAGTTGTACCCATTTTTACATGGTTTCTAAAAAAATTGTGGAAAGACTAAGTCGTTGCATTAACATTGTGAAACTCAACGTTTTTTTTTAATGAATGAACAAAGTCAGGTGCTCCTTAAAGGTCTAATTTGGGGCCACTTCTATTTTTAATTTTCATAAACGACTTAAATAATGTAATTACTTGATTTTTGCAGATGATTTGAAGTTATATAATTTAATGACGGTTACTTACTACCGTTGTGAAACAAAATTTGTTACTTGGGACCTTCAATTGTTCGTTATTTTTTTTGCAGACACCCCGTTAGGCCAGGAAAATAAGCTGAGAAATGACCATTTCGCGACTTTTTGTTTCGCCAAGCTGAATTTATCACTATAGATGCTAAATATTATGTACAATAACATATTAGTTTCCACAGTCATAAAAATGGGGGGAAGATTGTTTACAGGGTGGTTAATTGTATAATTTCTACGTAAATTCACGTTTTTCGCTTTTTCCGTTCATTTCCACGAGAAAACAGTAAAGTACTTTGAAGTTTATTTATGACTTTTGAATTAAACATTTATAAATTGCGTTATTATTACCAGAACGTTTTGGCATCGCAAGCTCTCATTCGTTATCATTGTCCAATAATTCTCACGAAATCTGGAATCGGTAAATTGAATAGTTTACAAGTTATGTCTTTATAAACAAATTAACTAATTATTAGTCTGGACGATCATGAGGACCTTCCACAATAGCACTGATTTTTTCATGGTAGATTCATAATAAAAAAATGAAAACCAAAAATTTTTTTTTAAATTTCAAATTTGCAACCTGGATTTTATTTTTTATTTTTTAGCCTTAGTTGCAAAATGAAATATGCGACGCACGTGATTAGTAATATATTATTACTAGAGATGTCGAAAAAGTATCAATTCGTTACATGAGTACTCGTTACTCGATTGGATCCGAAGTAACGATTATTCGTTTGAAAAAGTATTCGTTACTTTTGCTTATTTGATTACTTCTTGGATATAGACAATACAGAGTACTTTATCTAATGGAATATGGATACTTACTTATGCAATGCTCACTTCAATTCAATTCAATTTTATTTGTTTTGTGTACCATATTTTTATACCTACTTGTATTAGAAAAAATCTTTCCTATAAAAGACTAAAAATATGCATAAGACTGTGTATATAATACATAATCCAAAAAATAGTATGTACTTTCTCTTTTTGTTTATTTTAAAACTGATTGTTTATTTTCAAAATAAATATTTACATTCGTAATCGGATCGTTGCATTATAATTATTTTTTTTTATCAAACAAACCTTAATATTTCAGATATTAACACTGCATTTCTTTTTTAAGAGAAATTGAGGTTAGATTATATTCATAATATGATGCGGTTTGATATTTACTCGTCTATAACTTACAGTACTGTGTATCAATTAGGTAATTACTGATTACTATTCTATTTAGAATATTTTGAAGCCACTACTCATAGTAATCAAAGTAATGAATACAAAGTACCGATTACTTTAATCGAAAGTAATCGGTACTCATGATTACTCAAAAGTAATCATATTTGACATCTCTAATTATTACATATTCGGAAAGATTATGAAAAGAACTTTAAGTTAAAAAAAAAGATTCGTTGAAAAACAACGGAGTTACAGACTGTCAAAGTTGACGGCCTATTATTAAACAAATAAGGTTGGTAGCGGCAAAAAAATACTGTCATAACCGGCAACCCGAGTACTTTCCCAGATAAAAATATTTTATTTGTGGAAGTATGTTACGTGCATAAGAAATATCGTCAAAAGTCAGTGGGTCGCTTAATTTTCGGCGAGCCGTGGCGCGGCGGAAGAATGGGGGAAGCGAACGACAGCGAGTCCGAAGAAAATGACGATAATATTCAGTCCTGCCGTTAAAAAGACGAAATTCGCTTGAAAATAATATATTTGACAGTCTGTAACTCTGTTGTTTTTCAACGAATCTTGCGATTTTTTTTTAACTTAAAGCTGTTTTCATAAGCTTTCCGAATATGTAATAATATATAATTATGTCACGCTCGTGCGTCGTATATTTCATTTTGCAACTAAGGCTAAAAAATAAAAAAAATTCCAGGTTGCAAATTTGAAATTGAAAAAAATGATAGATTCCAATGTATTATTATGAAACTACCATGAAAAAAATCAGTGCGATTGTGGAAGATCCTCGGGATCGTCTAGACTAACAATTAGTTAATTTGTTTATAAGGCCATAACTTGTAAACTATTCAACTTACCGATTCCAAATTTCGTGTGAGTTATTAGACAGTGATAAGGAATGAGAGGATGCGATGCCAAAACGTTCTGGTAATAATAACGCAGTTTATAAATGTTTAATTCAAAAATCATAAATAAATTTCTTTTGTTTATAATTTTTGATCTAATCAATATTTTTTGACGCACGAGGGCTCATTTTGTAGGTCTTTTGAGGGCGAAAAAAAGTACTTTACTGTTTCCTAAAGTTATAAGCAAAAAAAGTGAATTTACGTAAAAATTATACAATTAACCACCCTCCAATCTTCCCCCCATTTTTATGACTGTGGAAACTAATATGTTATTGTACATAATATTCAGCATCTATAGTGATAAATTCAGCTTGCCGAAACAAAAAGTCGCGTCCTACTCTATATTTCCTGGCCTACGTATCCAACAACTTAAGAGGCCACTCTACGCTCTTGTTCAAAAAAGCAAATAAGGCATATTTTATTCAGCAAGAAGGTATTCAACTACCCGGCCCAACGGCCGCAATAAAAACGGGACGGGATTGCCGCAGCATCCTTCTAACCGAACGGGATGTGTTTCTGGCTGCGTAGAACAATAAAACAAATCGACTAACCATTGGTAAACTGTAAAAGCTGAAGTTTTAGCGCTCGAATTTCCGCCGTCAGCCTTTCCACTTCCTGGCGGTTCTCCTCCTCTCTTTGTTGTAGGAGCTGGTGTAGGGAATAGCCATTATCCTGCGTCTGACTGGTGCTATCCTGGCCGCCCCCTGGAGGGTGCTGTTGATTTCCAATTATCGTCGAACCTGAAACAGGAATAATAGCCCTGTATACCTGAGGAGGTTAAGAACTGCGCGGTGGTCGCTCAAGCCAAATATGCCCAACTATTAATGTTTTAGAAAAGCTTAAGGAATGTTCACAAAGCATATTTTATAAAACAACACTTCAAACTAACAAAATTGTAATTTAATTTTAAAAGCGTAGTATAGTCTTTCCCAAGTCAATTGAACATGTAAAAAACGCCTGGCAACAAAATTTAATGACTTTCATAGGCGTCCCTAAAAAAGTTTTCTGCTAAAGATAAAAAATTATAATAATTTGTATATAATGTGCAGAAAATTTCTATTATATGTTCATTTGGAGAAAAACATATTTTAATTATTTATGTCTTCAAACTATTTTATTATATTGATGGTAAATTTCGTTTTGTTCCGTTTCAAAAGGTCTCCAAAATGACATGTTGTAATAATATTATTTATCCCATTCGCAATTGTAGTATCAATGATTAATAAAAGGTGCCTATAAAAAATTAAAATTACCTAAATCACAACCAAATTCCATATTGCTGCACTGCACTGCTGGGCAATTTGTCAACCACTTGTCAACAGCTGAGATTTATTGTCCAGTGGCCCAATGCAGCTGTGTTTGTATTTCGTTTGCCCGCGCTCGCATTCTTCAACTGGGCGTATAAAGCCCTCTTACTGTCAAAATCTTCATTATCTCGACTTCTGGACCATGTACAAAAATCCTTTTGTACTTAATCTGGGGTATCTATAAATATGACGTTTACGATGGCCTCAAAAGCATAATTACCTTTGAAAAATGTAATTTTCCTTTACTCTAAAATTCTCTCAACCCTTGTTAACATTTTAATAATCCTGTAATATACATTATCGAGAAATGAAAATCGAAAAAGATATTGAAGAAAAAGGCGACCGAAAAATTGTTACTTTTTTCAAAGCTTCTCCTGTAAACAGTTTTTATAATAACCAAATATTGCAGTTAGATGAATAAACTCGGAGAGGGAGAAACTTAGAACAAGAAATTTTAAACGCCGTTGGAAGAGGATCCTGGCACCAGTTACTCGAAGGTTTCAAGTATGTCATATGCTGCAAAAATCAGACGATTTCATTTATCGTTATTCATTTATTACTGTGTGATTTCCGTTATTATTTATTAAATTTGGATGTCGAATAATAAATCAGACAGAGAAGTACGCAGTTGAAATTGGCACACGCCGTAATTTCACTCGAAAAGTTTACAGGTTATTTTATAGTACGCAATTATTTTGATTAAACGTTTACGATCTATCTGAGTGGCTTGATGAAAGAGAAATTGATATTGCGCTCTTAGCTGTGTACTCATTAATAGTGTCAGTAACAAATGAGTACGATTTATTTTTTAGCTCTTCGAAATTCAATCACCGTTTCTTTGAGAAATTGATAACGATTGCAGTCGGACTGTGCGGAATAAATTGTGTCTGTAATTAAATATATTAATTTCAATTATAGCCTTCAATTTCCAAAGTAAATTATTACGATTGGTAAATGGATTAGGTACATTGCAAGATATTAAATTAAACACTATTTACACGAATTACAAAAAAAATACAAAAATCGCCTAGACAGTTTTTTTGGGACATGAAATATTTAGCCCATTCTAGATAACCTTCATAATAAAATTACCTTCAGTGCAACTCACATAATAAAAGTGTAGATCCCTAGATCTGGGCGAGGTCCGGAATATTTTCAAAATTGCAAAAATGTTTAAAAATAATTGATGAGAAAAAGGCAAAATAATCAAGTTTTCTGGATAATATTTTTTAAATATTTTAATTGCTCCGAGGCCATTCTAATTTTGATAAAAAAACTTTAGAGTATAATAAAAGATGCGAAAAAATGTTTTTGAATTTTCAAAATGTTGCACAGCCTCAAATAAAGCATCTAGATGTTTGAAATTTTTTTCACATAGAAAAGACCGCTCAACCTTTCAAATGATTCTTGAAAAAATACAAATCGGTTGATTAGGCCACAGTAAACTTTTAAAGTTAACACTTTTTTTTTATTTTTAAACAATTAAATTACATTTATCAATTTGCAATTTAGTTTTTTTCAAAAATTATAATTTTAAAGTACTATTTATTTAATTAATTTTATCTGTATTACAAAAAAATTAATTTCCCAAAAATTTTTTTTTAATTCGTTTAAATAAAAATTATTTAAATAATTATACATTCTTATTAACAAATTTTTTTCATCGAAAAAATGCAATAGCATGGGGTAAAATATACAGTAAGTACATTTAATGCATAAACTTTGCTTATAACAAAATATGTGCAAATTAGAAAGTTGGCATTACGATATTCGAATTCCTTGGCTCGCGAGACATGGGATTAGAANATAAACAAAGTTTATTATTTATGCATTAAATATACTGTATATTTTACCCTATGCTATTGCATTTTTTTTTTCAGTGAAAAAATTTGTTTACATATATATTTCAACACTGAATATGAATGTATTTAATTATATTTATTATTTAGTTATAATTATTATTTAAATAACTTTTGTTTAAAGACATAAAAAAAATATTTGGAAATTAATTTTTTTGTTAAATACAGATAAAATTAAGAAAAAATTGTACTTTAAAATTATAATTTTTGAAAAAACTAAATTGCAAATTGTTTAAAAATAAAAAAAAGAATTTACTGTGGCCGTCCTAATCAACTGATTAGAATTTTTCAAAAACCATTTGAAAGGTTGAGCGGTCTTTTCTATGTGAAAAAATTATTTTCAAGTATCTGCATGCTTTATTTGAGGCTGTGCAACATTTTGAAAATTCGAAATTTTTTTTCAAAATTTTGTTCAAAAAATTATTTTGCTAAAACTATCTAACCGATTTTAATGAAATTTGGTGTGTTGTTTTATTATATTGTACAGTTTTTTTTACCAAAATTAGAATGCCTTCGGAGCAATTAAAATATTTTTAAAAAATTATTTCATTCATTTTTCTTCTTACTTCAATTCACTTTTTTTCCTCTTCAACATTCTTCCAAAATGCATAGGTTCCAAGATATAAGTAAAAAACTCAGATAAAACAGGTATTATTTTATATTTTTTAAACATTTTTGCAATTTTGAAAATGTTCCGGACCTCGTCCAGATCTAGGAATCTATACTTTTATTATGTGAGTTGCACTGAAGGTATTCCTGTAAAAATTAGCTTGCCCCCTCTTACATCCAAGAAGTAGGGATATTTCGCCAGATCCGCCCTGGTCTATTAATAATTTACATCTTTTCCGATTAGATTTAACTTTCCCCATTAGAATAATATCCAAGGTCATCAACAGAATGTTGTGTGTACGTGAATCTCTTGTGTCCCACAGCATTTTGCCCTTAGTCTGTATATTGGCCTTCTGGCTTCATTCTCCAATGGTACATGAAGAGGTAGTAAGTCCAGGAGGATTCCCAATTATCGCCAAAGATGTTTGTCCGCATAAGCCAGAGAGTTTGGCTTTGGTTGTAATCTGAAGACTTTTAAACCACCAAACTGTCGAGCCATATGTGGTCATAATGTAATTGTTTGTAACTTATACCCCAAGATGTTTCACAATGTCGTCGACATGTTCACAATTAAATGTGCTTTGATGCCTTGTAGAGAACTCTCTCCACATGCAAGTTCCAGTCCAGGTCTAGGATAATGCCTAGGCAGCCTCTACAAATGGGATAAATTTTCTTGTAAAGGCTAGAGGCTCGCAACAGTCCAACACTCTATCTAGCACCTCCCGAAGCGTTGATGAAATAAATTTTTCCCCCTCTTACTATAATGGAAGAATTATTTTCGATGATATATGTAAAACTTTTACTTAAATCTTTCGCTTTAATTAACTTATTTTTTTATTTAATTAACTGTTGTTTCAACACTGTATATTCTGGTCAGCATTTTTTCCTTTTGTGGTAGACGGACATATTCCCTTTTTTTTAATCGATGACGACAGCAGCTCTTCGCTGGTTCTAATTCCAACTGGAATCTACCAAGCCAAAAAAAAAGGTGCTATCGATTGCTTCTGCTTGGGAATTGTTACAAATGTTAATTAATTAATTTCGTTCGATGGGAACTGATAGGACTCCCGGAAGGTGAATAGGTCCTTTGGGCGAGAGAGACTAGCAAAAAACGGCGCAGCTATTAATCATACAGCGAACATCGGGCGAGAACAAAGCGAATTTTAACTTCTGTTGTGGGGCCGAATTAACCGACCATTATATTTGCATTTCGCATACAAAGACCTGTGTATCCAAGTAAATATTTACGAATATAAACAGGAAATATTATCTTTGTGTGTTGAAAGAGGTAATGTGTATGAGTTTTCCAATTGCGAATTTTCCCACACCTATTTGTATTGCTTAATAAGTTTAAATTAAAAAGGTTGCGCGAGTTATTTGCAGTTGCGTTTTAATTTCGTTGACAATGGAGCCTCATCAAAAGTCAATTGCAGTTTTCACCCAGTTAGGCGCTCTGGTTTTTAATATAAAATTCAGGTCTTGATAGATTCTTTAGGCGCATATTTAAAAAATAATAAATGTTCCTAATTCATTTTCATTTTCGTTTTAATTTCGCGGGAAAAAAGCGAATTAAATTAAAAAATGATAAGAAATTGTACAAAAACAATATTTGTATAATCTTCAGTTGTAAATTAATGTATTTTTTATTTAGCAGTTTAACGCTAAGTGTCACATGAACAAACAAATTGACACAAACAATAATTACTGTTGATGATGGTTGCCATCCATCATTTTTATAAGGGTGGCCAAATGAAAGCGAAACAGAGCCATTTTCAGAAACTGCGTCAAGATTGTAGACTCAGACCCGTCGATTTTAGATTAAAGGGGGACATTCTTTGCTAGTATTTTTGACTCCGCTACTTTCATCCCCAAGCAAGGGTAAGCATCACCCCAAGATATTTAAATGGCATTGGAGGTTGAGTAATATTTCTTTTGAAAGCTCTTACAATTCTCATTACAACAGAC